AAATAAAGCTTATTTTGCCTAAAATATATAATTACACAATTGTTACTTATAAATATTATGAGACTTGTGAGTTCTCGTTGACAACTCAGAAGCACAGGCCAAGTATGCTTTCTAGACCCTCCGGACGGACTCAAAATGTCCCTGTGTATTGTACATGAGTTCTAGAAGTCGCCGTTGAGCTACATAGCATTTTCTGACGACCTAGCGCATGAGTCCACGTCGGCATCACTCGGCCCGTATATAACTTTTTTCTTCAAACGTCAAATAATGATGACATTACTTATCTAACTTGATCCTGTCAAAGTTGGATGTCTCCGCCGGCAGCAGTTTTTTTCCCATTTCTTTACGGCGGAGGGAAAAATGTTGTCATGGCAACAATATGAAACATGTCCCCAAACCAACAATACAAATATCATTAACAACAATTAAACATCATTTTTATTTTTAGTAATATTAAAAGTACAATTAGTTAATGAGGCATTTTCAAAATTGAAACCGTGCAAAAATGTTCCCGACTCTTGATACGCATTGGTAATTGTTGATGATACTGATGGTCGAGAACAACTTTCAGCAATCATTCCCGATGTTGGCGGCTTGCGAACAACAATAAGCTGTCTTTAATAATTGCACACAACTGTCAAACAACTGTAACCAGGGAGACGCAAATCCCACCGATGACTTAATTATTTTAATTTCTAACATCTAGACGACTTTGATAGTTGTCACAGTTAATTTCGAGTAAAAATAGCGTATGAATTGTACTATTTATGGTTGAAAATTGCTACGTTTGAAGAAAAAATAGCAAAGAAGCGACTTTTCTTGACTTGCCCTCTATTACGCGTCAAGAAAAGTCATGCTTCTCCACCTCATAAAGTAATATACTATTATGTGTGAGTCCGTATTGGTCTCTCATGACACTTAACCTGTTAATGCGACGTATGTTCCTGTTTTTGGGAAACTAGCTTTTCAAACCTGGGCTCTAGGTTCGATAACAATGCAACAATGATGTCATTTTGAAGTTCTAAAAGATTTGTTAATTTCGTTTCAATAGCAGTCATTGATGATAAACTCATCTCGCATAAATAATATTTTGCAAACGAAACCAAACATTTGAGATTTTCGTTCGCCAATTCAGAATATTCTTGAATCATTCTCATTCAAAAGTAATCCGCGCTTTGGAAAAATAAGTATAGTTTTAACATTTCATCACTTGATATTTCAATAAGTTTTTCTTTCATTTTGTTGGAATGTCAGCTTGTTGAAAATAATTGTCCAAAAAATGATTCAGTACCCATCGGTTCTAGCCATGGTTGGTTTGAATTTCTTTGGGAAATATTCACAGGGTTAGTATCCTGTATTGTCCAAAGTAGTTTGCATATATGTACAAACTTTCTTAAAATCTATCCTATTATTATACTTTACCAATTCTTCCATGATTTCTTAAACGCACTGAAATGAATCAAAATTCTTTTTTCCAACCTAAATCTGCCATGATTCAATTTTTTTTATGAATTTGTTAACTTTATCCGTGGTCGTGATAACATTAATAACTCGGCATTGCAAGGCACTATTTAGAATATTTAGGGGTTCGAATAAATCGGCAAGCAAAGTTAGCTTGAAAAGCCAAGTGAATTTGAAAATAGATCTTCAAATTCCGAATTATTATCTTTTAAATATATCAAAAACTATGATGTTAATTGAAATACTCTTTGAGATGTTACCTCTTAAAAGCTATCTTACCTCCTTGTGGCAAAGAAGATTTACACACAGTATGCGGCATTAGTGCGAGGAAGTCCAATTACTCATTTGGTAAAAAAATACAAAAAAAATATTTAGGCAAAAGTTGGAACATGTATAGAACTATACTCAAAACATATTTTCACATGTACAGGGCTACCCATATTAACGGGATAGAACAAACTTATCTTTTTTTTTTAACGGAACACTCTGTATATTTTAACATTTTTGGACTCTTTTCGATGTTCTGGTTTTTCAGTGTTTGGTAGGGTTATACGAGGTAATTTAAAAGATAATTAAATTTTTTTTTATTAATTTATTATATTATTATATTAATATAATTGGCAAATCCTTTACGTGTTTGGTTCATACGCTGGTGTTTGTGAGTTCGAATCCCAATTATCAATTTCCTTTTTTATTTTTGAAATATTTAAAAACTTCACGTTATTCTTATTAAATATATGTAATATATGCAAAAATGCTAAATTTTAAAATAAAATGAAAATTTACAACATAATTCGAGTTGTTGGTTTTTTATTTTTATCTTCGTAAAGTAAGTTATATATATATATATATATATATATATATATATATATATATATATATATATATATATATATATATATATATATTGGCAGTTTTAAATACTTATGAATACTACATTTTAATTTATATTGTAGTATTATATTGAATTATGTTGCGGTGTATATGAAAATTTTTTTTTTCATTCAGCTCCTTTTATACATATATGAAAATAAAAATATACATTTTCATTAAAATATTGATACAATCCTTCATTTACTATACTCCTATTACAGGTCAAATGTTTATATCCAGCAAACGATGCGCCATATACCTATATAACTAATTCTTTTTCTCTTTCTGCTCTCTCTTACCTATAGCATTACATATGTAATTATTGTGCAGATTGACTCCCATATAAACGTCTATTTAACGGCGAACGTGTGTATAGAAGTATAACTTCTACCGGCAGTTCCACTGTACTGCCACACCCGTTTTTTTTTCAGAAAAAGTTTTTGAATGAATGCCAAAATTCTTTTATATTTTGTTTTAGTAATCCTGTAGATTATGTACATTCTTCTCGATTTCCCAAGGCGTTGATATACAGATTGAACCAAATTAAAACGGAACATACAATTTAATACATGTCTGTTTGAACTGCATTTGAAATAGTGGACCAATATAAAACTTGGACAAAAATAAATCCATACCTGGGTATAGACATTGTATAAAATATCGTTCAACTATCTGTCTCACAACAATGTTGTTTGCGTAAGACGGGTTTGTCTAAGGAAACGATAATAGTTCAGGAAATGAATCTCGAAAAAAGTTAAAACCTCGCAATTTTTTCGTCCTGCATGTATCCAGTTGAAATTTTAACAGAAGGTAGTTGATAGCCCAAGGATCAAAATCTATATCGATCCGAAGTGCGCTGAAGGGTTTTAGGGGTGAAAACTACCCCTAATTGTCAAAAATTATAAAATATCATATTAAACCTGAATATGGGTAAGATTTGGTTTGAATTAGTTAAATAATGATTATTTTATACTTTTGAACAGAGTTCCATCATATTTCAACCCTTAAAAAGCAACCCTTGTTAGAGGTTAATGTAAAAAAATGATTTCGCCTTGAATCGATTTGGATAAAAATTTGGATTTAAGTTCAATTCACCCGTTGCTTTATAGTTTATGTCATGTCGACGAACCCTGATTGTTCTAAGGGGTGAAAACTACCCGTAATTGTCAAAAATTATAAAATAACATATTAAACCTGAATATGGGTAAAATTTGGTTTGAATTAATTAAATAATGATAGTTTCGTGCTTTTGAATAAAGTTCCATCATATTTCAACCCTTAAAAAGCGACCGTTATTAGAGATTAATATAAAAAAATTAGTAATGCGAAGAAAATGATTTCACCTTGGAACGATTTGCATAAAAATTTGGACTTAAGCTCAACTCACCCTCTGCTTTATAGTTGATGTCATGCCGATGAACCCTGATTGTTTTTAGGGATGAAAACTACCCCTAATTTTCAAAAATTGTAAAATAATATTATAAATCTTAAGATGAGTGAAATTTGGTTTGGATTAGTTAAATATTGATTTTTTTATACTTTAAAACACAAATTCATACATTTTCAACCCTTAAAAATCAATTGTTATGAGTGCTATAGGTGAAAACAATTTTTTGCCAAAATTTTGCAACTTTTCAACTTTTGAAAATCACCCTTTACAACATTGCAGTTTTTATAAACTAATTTATAAGATATAAATTGAAAAAAGTAGAATTAAATACAAAAAATTTATCAACATAAAAAGGCACCATATATTCTTATACATTTACATAAATAGTAGGAAATATTTACATTTATAGGTAAAACAATTATAATATTAATTTTATTCGTCATCAATTACATCTTCATCGTGATCTATGTCATCCTCATCTTCAATTATTGGTGGACTATTATTGCACCCTTCACCTGAGCACCCAGAACAAGTAGAGTTACAGTATAAACCAACTTTTCTGCACCCACATGAAACACTGCATCCTTTTTTGCATTGCCAAAAAATAATTTTCAAAAGTTCATCGAGTGCAGGTTGTTTGTTCATGCGTACGGGTAATAACAAACCATCTTTGGAATACCATCCCCAATCTGTTGCTCTAATATTTTCATTGCCAAGCCATAGGCATATGAGCAGATGTTTTATTCTGTTGTATGGGATTTCAAAATAAGAACGCTTAAAATTTCGAATGTATAACGCCCCACTAGCTAATATACCGGTTTTGTAGATTATTATGCTCCGAAATGTACTGTACTATACTAATGGAATTTTCCGGAAAAAAATTAACTGGTTTTTTTAACGTATTTCCTTTAATTTTTAACGATAGAGTGTTTATTGACGGATTTGATAATTATGTAAACAAGGCACTCGGGTAGATTCAGTATGAAAATAGGGATCTGCGCTGGATCTAGTAACTGGCATTTAAAGGAGGTTAATTCTGAGCCTAGTCGCTTTCACGACCAGAGTCAGAATTAAAAACTAATCGTCTACCAAGTTTGAAGCGTGTTTTTTTTGCTGTAAATCGTGAAGGTCCCCCTAAAAGTTTCTCGCAAAAGTGGTATTTAGTTTCCTTAGGAGCAGGGTAGGTTGCTGGTAATTGTAAGCCAACTGCTCAACGTGTCCAAGGGCGAAATCCAACAGCATAAAAAAGGCTGGTGTATAAGAGAAGTAAGTAGATTTAACATTCAAAATGCTATAATTGAAAAATTAATAAAAAAAATAAATTACAACTTATTATTATTATCAATACATTCTGCTTAAAGAAATGTATTTCAATATTCTTCACATCGTTTAATGCTTAACAATGACATTCATTTCGCTAAGTAAGTTTAGTTTCTTATTCTACGGCATCAGTTTCGTATATTCCACAAAGAATGAACTCTTTTTGACTGTGTCCCATACTTTCGCACAATATAGCAACCACGTCCTTTCGGTAAGTTGTACATGAGTCAATGAATTACGTGTACAACCCAAAATATTGGCTCTTAGCTTGGCAATTATTTCTTCTAGAGGCGGATGGCCCGTGTAGATATCGTCTAAAATAAGAAGGATTTTATTAAAATAATACAAGTTTAAACGTAGTGGTCAACATTATTAAGTACAAATGTTTAATGATAAAAATATTTATTTATGACAAATTTCTCCAAAAGATGGCGCTCAACTTTTCTATCAACTAAATATCCTGTTTAGTAATCATTTTTCAATTTCAAATTTTACTTATTTCAGTTCTATTCCCATTTATTTATTCTTTTAGTCTTTGGATATGGGCCGTATTTATAGCCTATATATTAAATTTCTGCTACTTACATCTAGTCATATAAAATTGTGTGTTGGCAATTTTGAACTTTATTTTGGAGTGAAACTGTCAGTTTCATTTCAAAATAATAAAAGTAGAACGGTTTTTTCTGCTTTTTTTTCTGTTTTAAAGTGAAGTTCATTTCATCAACTTATTTTTCTTCTTTAATCTTTTTTGAGTGGGTATTAGTAACATTACTTTGATAGTTAATTTTAATATTTCACCAATATTCAGTATCTTCTTTATAATTCCTTTTGAATTGGTTTTATAACCTAACCTCTATAAGCCACGTTACTTTTCAACTTCATTAATGGTGTATGTAAGTAGAATCTTTAATTTAAGTCATTTGAACTAATTTGTTTTAATGATAATTATATCCATTTGATTGTCTTTACCAATGCTAATATTTTTTTCCAGGGTGGAATAGCCAACTGGAATAATTCGATAATTATTAAGTGGGGGCGTGTTCAAAAACACTCTCGGACACGTCGATTAGTATTTTAGTTGTGCATATTTTGTAATAAAAACTTTTTATACAAGCTGTGTATTGTAACAATGGTCAATATCAACTTCTTATCAACATCAACTATCTTATTTCAATTACAACACCCTGTACTTATATTATTCAATTTTTGGATTCTCAAGAATATTCTAGATATATTTGATGTACAATGTCCTATACTTATCTTTAACTATTTTGGAAATTTTAAGTATTTTTCGATTTATTGCAAAATTTGCTACAACACATTCAATCCTTGTTTTTCATGTAGGTCTTAATAATGGCAAAGTAAGCTAAAACTATTTCAGCGTTTCTTTTTACTTATATTAAATAACAAAATTATTGTTTATAATATTTTAGTCTAAAGCGCTTGACGTTAGCAAATTGTTTTCTGTCAATATGGCAGTAGTTGTCACTCTTTGAACATGACAATCGTTTGAAGTTCGTTATCCAGCTTAAAGCTGGATTTTCACAGATCCAATATCCGATGACACGAATATATTTGATTGTCGCATCCAAAATTTTTTGACATATATATATATATATATATATATATATATATATATATATATATATATATATATATATATGACATATATGTCAAAAAATTTATATATATATATATATATATATATATATATATATATATATATATATATATATATATATGTGTGTGTGTGTGTGTGTGTGTGTGTGTTATGTGTGAGATTATTGGATGGATTGATATTTATTTCAATGAACTATCAATAAATGTTAGCTGTTTTGTTTGATAAAATATATATACTATTGAGCTACTTTTTCGTCGTTTTTGCCTCACATAGTGTAGAAGACACAAAAGCAACACTTTATTTATTGCATTTTTATATAATAATTAGGTCTTTGTTCCATTTTAAATATATTTCAAATAGTAAACATAAACCATCGAGCAAAAAGACAAGAGAGGGAATCTAATCCTTATGAAAAGGAGACCAAAAAAGTGGCCTCTGATGGCGGACATATCCGGAAATGAGAATGCGTAAAATTTAAATTTTTCTACACTTATTAACAGTAGCTATATAATATTTTTCAGAATGTGTCTTAGACGAGAAAGTTTTAATTAATTATTAACGATAATAGTCTAAAATGCGACACAATTGTTAAAAAACCTCAATATAAATAAGATTTCATGTGACATTTGGGACACACAATAACATAACCCAACTAAATTTGATGTCAAACAAGGAGAGAGACTCTCTTTCCTTGTTTAACGTGGCCTCTTAAGATCGCACTTCCTGTCTAACAATATTTTTGCCCCCACTACCTTTACATTCCCTCTTTTGTCTTTTTGCTCGATGACATAAACACTCCACAAAACTAAGGTTAAAGTTCAAGTTAAAATGTCAACAATGTCAAAATTCATCCGATTTTCGTGCAAAAGTTAAAATATTTTTAACTTCTTCCGATGACTTTTAATTTCGTACGAAAATCCCACCTGTCATTTTTCAACCAATGAAATTCGGTGAAATTTATATCGTATCATCGTACCGTCGGATATCGGACCTGTGAAAATCAACTTTTAATTGCATATCAAAACAATGGTTCATTTAACAGAAACGTTGCTCGCCTATTTCATGAAACATTTCCAAATTTACCGCCTGTATCCCAAGGAACAATTAGTAAAATAGAAAAGCAGTTTCGCGAGTTTGCACATGTAAGGCAGATACAAAAAAGCAGCTGCCAATGAAATATTGTATATTGTACTTGAGTTTGAAGAAAACCCATATGCTTATAGTTGAAAAACAGCCCCAATGTTTGATATTAGCCATTAATCGATTATTCGAACATAAAAACAAAATAAAATGCGTTCCTATAAAATGATATCATCTCAGGAACTAATGGAAGACGACTTTGGTAGGAGGACGTATTTTTGTGAACAAATGGCAATGTACGATAACATGTATTGTTTTCTGATGTTTTGCTAATCGCCAAAATTACCGCTCATGGTCTATATCCTCACTGGATGAGAAAAGAACATACACAATACCCTGAAAAGGTTAATGTATGGGCAGGAATTGTAGGAGATCGTATTATAGACCCTTTTCCATTGATGGTAATTTGAATGGTGATTATTATTAATTTAGCACTAATAAAAAATAATGGCACATCCTGATCCAGCAAACCCACAAGTTTCAGCGAATATGATATACGTTCAGTAAGATAGAGCACCCCATTACCAAATCAATGTTCGGCATTACCTCAACCGAATAGTTCCAAATCGGTAGAGAGGGAGGCGAGGATCGATCAAATGGCCTTCAGGATCTCTTGATCTGACGCCATTAGACTTCTTATGGGGATGAGTGAAAATATTATATACAAAACTAAACCCCTCGACTTAGCTAACTAACAGACGAATAACGATGCCATTTCGGTGTAATTTTTGTTCTATATAAAAGTATTGTCCCCCTTTTTGGTGTGACACCCAAACCACATAGTGCACCACATGCAGCAAGCTACAATCCAATATCATGGCTGCTACCAAGAAGTACCTAAAACCAACAAGTACCTGAAAACTACAACTTCAGCTAACATTCAGAAGTGGCAGAAATACAGTAACAACTGCCATAGGTATCATTTTTACATCTTTATTTGTAAAGCTTTAGGAATGATTTGCTTTTTATTAGTGAAAAATTTATTTCTTTATGTATCTATAATATATATAATTAGGTAATATAATCTTTTATTTGCCTATGCCATTTCTCTTTGTTCAGATTTGCATTTAAGATGCGACGCACCTGAGACAAAGCTAGTCGAAGCCTCAACAATAAAATTGTCATCTTAACTATCGTTTTATAGTTAGACGATGCCATTTTGTTATTGAACGAAATGAGGTGCCATTTTGTTGTTGAACAATTAGCAACCAATGATATAGGAAATAACTCCACTGTTATACCACAGAATAATAAACAATCAGAATGTACACTCTCAGATGCCGCCTTTGAAGTTTTTCTGCACGCGCGCCATGTTTTAGAAGGAAACACCTAACACATACATATGATTTGTGAGGTTATGTAATTGTTTATATTTATGTTTAATTATATTACATTTATATTATTATATTTAACAATGTTCATATAATTGTATAGTATGTCTATGATTGCCGTAAGTCAATTAAACCGGGTTAATTTTTCTATTATTTTATTTAGCGTATGGCTACATCACAGGTTCATATAAATATAAATATATAAATATAAATTATATAAATTACAAACAACAGTAAATATAAAAATATTCTACAAACAAACATCTAAATTATAAATATATTCGATTGACTCTTTTATAGCAGCCAGGAAATCTGAAGGGTTGCCATTATAGGATCTAATCGGGCATTCCTCTACCATGTGTTTTACTGTTTGCCTTTCGGAGCCGCAGTCGCAATTTGGTGATTGTATTTTTCCCCATCTAAAAAGTGAGTCGGAACATCTGCCACAGTTCGTCCTTATTCTATTGAGTGTGGTCCAAATTCGTCTCGGTTGGTTGAAGCCCTCAGGTTTGCTTGTAATACATGGCATGTTCCAGTTAGCTGGTGCAGCGTTATTCTCCCATTGTTCTCTCCACCGTTCAGTTACATTAAAGTTTTGATCTACTAGCCTTTTTGCTGTTTGTAGAGGCGGGTGTCTTGAACGGAGCCTATTTATGTCTCTGGCGGAAGTTCCGACATGGGAGCGAAGCTCAGGATCAGTATTGATTTTTGTAAATTCTCTGACAAGGGCATGTTCCCGGCGGATATGTGGTGGGGCTATATGACTCAAAGCTGGTAACCAGTAAGTGGGCGTGGCCTTGATTGTGCCCGATATAGTTCGCATGGCTTGGTTGAGTTGGACATCAACACGGTGAGTATGTGGACTGTTTATCCATACTGGTGCACAGTATTCCGCTACGGGGTATACCAGTCCTAATGCTGTCGATCTAAGTGTGGGTGCTGAGGAGCCCCATGTAGTGCCGCAGAGCTTTTGCAGGATGTTGTTACGAGTTCGGAGTTTTGCAGCAGTCTTAGTAAGATGCTCTTTAAAGTTCAGCGTTCTGTCAAGTGTAACACCTAAGTATTTTGGGTGTTTATTATATTTAAGGAGTCTATCCCCAAAATTGATTTGAGGTTGATAGTTGGCCATCTTGTTGTATAAATGGAAGCACGACACTTCTGTCTTAGTTGGATTGGGTTGCAATCTCCATTTGCGGAAATAATTGCCTAGGGCATTTAAATCGTTTGTTAGAATGCGTTCAGTGACCTCGAATTCTTTATGACTTGCGGCAAGCGTCCAGTCGTCTGCGTATCCAAACTTTTTTGATGTGGTTTCTGGCATGTCTGCTATGTAGAGGCTGAAAAGCATGGGAGCCAGCACGGATCCTTGTGGAAGTCCATTATTCAGTTTTCTTTGGGTACTAGTCTTGTCTCCCAATATAACTTTAAAGCATCTGTTGGATAGCATGGCGTTAATAACCTCAGTGGTCTTTCTGCATGGGATTATTCGCATTAATTTATATATTGCCCCTTGTCGCCACACAGTGTCATAAGCAGCAGATAGATCGATGAAGACAGCGGTTGTTTTTGATTGCTTTTGAAAGTTTGATCCCACATAATTGGTCAGGGCGAGTACCTGGTCTGTGCAGCTGCGGTTTGCCCGAAATCCTGCCTGTTCCACTGGTAAGTGTTGGAATATGGTTTTGCTGATTCTATTATACAACAGTCTTTCGAACAATTTGTACACCATACTTAAGAGTGCGATGGAGCGGTAGTTTTTCGGTGAATTATTACTTTTCCCTGGTTTTAAAATGGCGACGATTTTTGCATTTTTGAGTTGGTGGGGGACGTTTCCCGTTTGAAGTATGTCAGAAAAGAATTCTGCGAGCCATTGCCTAGTGAATCTGCCGCTATGTTTGAGGAACTCAGCGTGAATGGCGTCGAAACCCGGTGCTTTTCCTGTTTTCATTTCATTTAGGGCTTGCGATATTTCTTCATGCGTAAATGGGTTGGAATATTCTGTTGACTGTGCAAGACTAGATTTTATGGTTTTGAGGTCTTTTTTAACTTTAATAGTATGTAAACGATTTTGAGGTGCCCTAGAGGTTGACACTATGTGCGTAACTATTTGGTCTGGAGTTACTAGGTTGGTTTGGCGAGCGGGTGGGTTGCTACTTCCGAGTTTCCGCAGTAGGGACCAAGCTTGTCGACTTGACTTCTGGAAGTCTAGGTTTTCTACTGTCTGTGTCCATTTTTCACGCCTGGCAGCATCAATACTGTGGAGTAGTTCGTCTGCAATCTCCTGCTTTCCATCTTCGCAATATTCTTCATACAGTTTTTCGCTCTGTTCTGTCCAACCAGGGATATATTCTTTGCGGTATCCTCTAGGGATTGTCGCTTTTGCTGAGGTGATTATTGCTCCTGTTAGTCTCCCATAGCTCCCATAGTTCTGGCTCTTTGGTGGAATCCATCCTAGGCATTTGTCAAGGTTATTGGTGAAAGCAGACCAGTTAGCTTTCTTGAAGTTCCATCTGGGGCGTGGGAACGATCTTATAATCGGAATGCTGATACCGATCTTGATTAGGACGGGGCGATGTTGACTATGTGGAAAGTCAGACATAACCCTTCGTGATGCTGCTAGCGGTTGGCCTTTGTTGTCAATGGTAACAAAACAGAGATCAGGGTTATATTCTCTCCTCTATGTACATGTAATTTTTCTATGTACACCACATATACAACACTGGTTCCCTCTAAAACATGGCGGAACGTCTACGCGAAGGAGATGCGCGTACTTAATTTTCCATGGAGAGTGGGCATTCTGATTGTTTATTATTCTGTGGTTATACATTAGTGATTATATTGTTACAATATTGAAAAAAATACTTACTGGAATTTAGGTTAATTTCAGGCACTAAAAATAAATTAATAGGTCTTCCACAATTGTCGCTATTTAAATAACTAATTAATCGACCAGAGCCCAATCCTATTTCCGATTTTATGTTCAATTTCGATTTATCAAATAGTGTTTTATATACCTAAAAAAGATTTTTTTTAATACATTATGTTAAAAATCATGTATAGCTATAAAATTTCAGGAAATTTCGAAATGTCGAGCAAAACATTGTATCCCCTTTATTGGAGTACGTACAGCATCCCCTTAAAAATATGGTTAACGAATTAGAAGTAAAATATATAGAGACTGACATACTCTAATCTTCTACAGGTATCATCAGTATATTTGATATTATTAATTTTTTCTCCATCAATTTTTATTCCTTCTGGTCTGCCATTCAAGCTTTCCTTGAATATTTACTCGAAATATTTATCGATGTCGAAGGATTTATCGATAATACACTGCTTTGTTGTACTCCACGTTGTATAAGCAATTTCTTGGTGTAATTTTACTATAGTTTGGACATATGCTACTTTTTTATAATATAGATAAATTAGTAGTCTTAAATCACAGTTATCCAATCCGATCCAATCAAACTTTAAACCCGTAGTTATTGGCGAAGTTGCTTATAACAAATTTAGATTTAAAACCGACTTTAAAAGTTCTACCAACTTTTTTTAAGTAATTTTCTTTAAAAAATGATACGATGATACTTATGCGTTTTACATTTTTAAGTTTGAGTTTTATGTCACAGATTAATCTGAGGGGACAACTACTCCAGTGTTATAGTTATCTTGATTGAATTTCGGTATCTTTCAGTTATTGTAATATAATCGATCTGATTTCTTATGATCTTCTCTTTAGTATCTCATGGTGACTTCCAAGTGTACAAACAATGCTTTGGTAGTTTGAAGAATGTATTTGTCAGATATAACTTGTTCTATACAATTCTAATAATGACATAAACGATCTCCTCTGTCATTACATTGTGTAAGTCCGAAATCGCCTACAATGTTTCCTTGTCTACCTTTTTCTAGTTTGGCACTGAAGTCCCCCATTATTATAATGTGTTTATTTTTCAGATGACTCAGTACCCTCAGTAATATTATTTCATGTGTTTAATACATTTATTTAAACATACATTTTAACAAACTATGCAAGAATCCACTATATCCCAAAACCCCTGTTCTAAAAGTTATCTTGACAAGTAGTGACAACTGACAGAGTCTCCATACATTGTGCCTAGAGCCCCGTGAACGTAATCATAACCTACTGATATAACATCTTTCCCCTTACATTTGATAATCCTTAAAACGCAATGGAGCCCTTTTGAGTCTAGCGCTAGTTCTATTTTCAGCATTCATTTGGGAGGTTGAAGGTTCCTCTACTCCACAACTCTGATTCCCAGATGAGGAGTTTAATGATCTATCATTACGTGCAAAATCAGTATTCTTCTTAATTTCCGCTTTAACTAGCGAAGGCCTTAAGTGATAACTGTTTCGCCTGATCACTTCCCCATTTTCTTTCTGCACTAAATAAGATCTGGGTGCCTCATCTACTTTTTCCAGAACTTTACCTGGTCTCCATTCTCTACCCTCTCTGACACCTACATTCTCTCCTGGCACTATTTCTCTTCTTACCTTGGTGTTTCTATCATAATAATTTTTATATTCGTTTCTTTTTGCCTCTAGTTTCTCCCACACATCCTTTAGATTTATGTCTTTGTGCTTTTTTATTTGATGGTAGCTTCGATGTAAGAACCCTGTTAGTTACTAATTGGGCCGGTGTTTTATCTGTTCCATTTATTGGAGTATTGCGATAGTCCAAGAGTGCCATATCTAAGTCGTCACACTTTCTAAGCATGTTTTTTGCAATTTGAACGGCTCGTTCTGCCTGCCCATTAGACCGTGGATAGCGGGGACTGGACGTTACAAACCGAAAATCCCAGTCTTTAGCAAATTGCTGACAATGCCACGAATTATAAGGCATGTTATCTGATATGGTGGATTCTTGTTGACTGCGCTTATAAAACAAATATCTTTCATAAACCACGTTTTTTCTAGGAGTGACATAAGACTCAAATGCTTCCAATACATCTGCTAGCTTTCCTTGTTGGTGCTCTGTTAATTCCAAACTGTTATAAATCTCAATGTTTTCTTCTTCAATTAAATTGAGTAAAATTGCTACCTTACCTTCATCACTTTTACCACTTTTCCCTAATGCCATCAGATATATTTCAAAACTTTGCTTAAATCGTTAAAATTTTCAGCCACATTGCCTTCAAATGATAATGGATTTGGTAACCTTGCTTCCATGATTTTCGTTTAATATCCTACTAACTGCGCCAAGTAATATTATTTCATGTGTTTAATACATTTATTTAAACATACATTTTAACAAACTATGCAAGAATCCACCATATCCCAAAACCCCTGTTCTAACAATTATCTTGACAAGTAGGGACAACTGACAAAGAGTCTCCATACATTGTGCCTAGAGCCTACAAAACCAACATATTTGAAAATAGGAAAAGAAACTATGGTATCCTACAGCATAAATTCAAGCAAAAATGTAATTATAACTTTCTCCTCGCAACGCTACGCAAAAATACTGTTGAAGCTTCAGGAGACCGAACTCAAGGAGTAATCACAGGTGTTATCACTGAATATTGCTCACTCAGATATTATCTCTGTAATATAAGCAAAATGGACAGAGCAAAAGTAGGTTTTGCTCTGTCCATTTTGCTCTGTCCATTTGAACCGTTTTTTAGAGTCTGAACAGGTAATAAATATCTCTACTAGGATATTAAACGTCTCTCTTAAACGTATAATAGGTTTATTTGGAAATCTAGATCTGTTGGACTGAATATGGATGTAGGTCACAAAATATCTTACAGGTTGCAATGTGGGAAGGTCTTCGAGGCCAATCGACTCCTTTGAATTTACAATCTACAGACCAGTAACCTACTTATGGGCGAAACTAACATATGCTCAGAGAATTGCCACTCTGCTTCGGATTAGGGAGGTCTACACAATGACAAGTCACACTAAAAAAACGGGAAAAAAGAAAGAACATATATTACGAATAGAGAAAATCTGTGGAAATCGAAACGTCAAATTAAATGTATTTTCAATTGAAATTGTGGTTGATTTCCATTAAATACAGTAAATACTTTCTAAGGGCCGATTGTTCGAACGCTAATCAAAACTTCATTGTAATCAAATATTTAATTAAAATCAAATCCGTCATATTTTGAGGTTATATTGACTGATTTATTTTATTCAATTTTATTATTTTGCGTTTTAATTTAAAATAAACCATAATTAAACTCTTTCTTGTGTTAATTTCATGTTTTTATTTATAAATCAATTATAATAATTATAAGCAATTTTTAATAATTTTGACAGCTGCTGTTACATATTTGATTGTAATTAAATATTTGATTACAATCAAGCTTTTATTAGCGTTCGAACAATCGACCCTAAATTTAGTAAAAACACAAACACAATAGAAAGTGCAGTAACACGATTTAAGGAAATTGAGTTATACAATATCGTCGGTATACTTCGAAAACCAGGTAAATGTCGAAATACCGAAACCGAGAAGAAACGTTTTTAAAGTTTAGTTTTTTATTGTGAATTAAGCAGTCAGCTTGTTTTTGATATAAGGTATTCTAGTGAAAGATGCATATATGTGTAATGATATTCTATCATTAGTTTGAAAAAGATAAGACACGTATCTGACTAATCCTAAATTTAAGTTGGAAATGCTATCACTTACCTAGTTTTACCTGTAAATCTAAATAAATCAGTTACTCTTCAAATAACATATGTACCACAAATATCATAAACCAAGTATATTATTTTCTAGTTTTGTGATCGAGATATGAGGCTTTTAGTAGGTAATAGTAATATTTTAAGGTATTAGTCGATATTTATGACATTTAACTGGTTTCCCTGAAAATTTTATTAACAGCTGTTTGTAGTTATAATTATTTATATGAATAGGCAGTTTTATAAAAAAAAACAAATTTATTTCGAATATAATAATAACAATATAATTATTATGAGACATCCTCGTCCGATTCGTCACTGAAAGCAGGCTCTGGCAAGATGTCTGTTACATCATTTCCCGTTTTGAAATTACGATACCACCCGTGACATTCCTCCGGTATCAGTCCCTTATCACATAACTGTACTAAATCTTTTTTTTTCTATGTGAATTGGCACATGTGCATCATAAAGTCGCTTAAGTTCTTCAAGATTGCTTGTATTAGTTGATAACTTGGCGTGCTTTTTTCTTGTTGACTGTCGTGCCGTGCAGTATCAGTAAGGAAATAATTAAAGCTTGTTGACATGTCATAATTAAAATATATTCTGTTTGTCTCTCCTTTCACGAATCTTATTCTTTTTATATTTTCACTTATTTTTTCGTCGTTTTGGTCTTTTGTGCGGTTTTTAGTTAGTGTGTGACAAATTTTTTAAATTATAAAAGTCGTAGATAGTATTTAAATTCTTAACATTTGTATGGTTCTATACATATTTTTTGATCATCAACCTTGATATTTTTAGTTCCTCTTGCATTTTGAAAAACAGGCAAGTAATCTGGCATCCCATAGATAGATCTGTGTTTTTTAGCGGTTTCGATACTACTATGCATAGAGTCAACTTCCATATAGGAATGTCCAGACTCTAAAAATTTGTGTTCAATAATATTTAAATGGACAATGTTTTCATTACTATTCTGTCCTCAGCAGGTATCAGAAAATAAACTTATTTCACTTACATATTCTACATTTTGATAAGTAACTGAGTATATTGCTTCCTATTTCAGAACTTCCTCGTCTACCGTTAATTTCTGACTAGGCAAAACAGTAAGCTGCATTTATTGTATTATACTATAGTATAATATATACTATAGTAATATGTACTATAGTAATATATGCTATAGTAAGTAAGTAATTAAAACAAAATCCCGTTGTTCATTAGATTTTTTCTTATCATTTTGTTTTTCAAGATTACATTCCTTTTTTCTTTTCTGACGTTCTCTGTAACTGTCTTCTAAATCCGAGTTGTCAGTTGGATTAGCCCTATCATATTTACTACAAACTAAACATTAATCTTTTTTAGGAACACAAGAAACAAAAAAAAAGCTTAAATTATAGTCGTTAGAAAATATTCTTCGACATGTAAATTCGCTTATACCTTCCAGTTTCTTCTGCTCACAGTCATTTATAGAAAGTTGGTACATGCTTCTTATACTTAAATTTTTGTCTAAATATCTACGGTTTGAACTTTGGCGAATATAATGTGGGCCCATGGTTAGAAAAGACTCAATATGAGCCTTTACGATTTTTCGAGTTTCACTGCTTGTTTTAATTGGGCGGTGTATGCTTGCCTCTTTTATCCGTATCTGCATAACAGCCTCGAATATCAGTTTTTCTTACAACATCTTGTATTAACGACGCTGATACAGAAAGTGTTTTACAAAAAAATTTCTCACATACCTGTATGTCTTGACTATTCAAAGAAAAGTAACACTTTTTGGAAAATGCACGTGGTTTTTTTCAACTTCGACGAACTGCAATGACTCTTGTTGGTGACTCCGTTTTAATACGTGCAGTAAGAAAATTTTTCTGGCCTATATATTCTAACTTTCAATAATCACGACATTGCCTTTGTCTGTAATCTTCGCTGAAATAACTGGCACATTTGTAAGAGCACTCTGAACAATTAACTGGTTTTGGCAATTTTGCTGGTCTATTACTTTTTTTATCTCATAAGGCAAACCCTCAGGACGCCTCCTTTTTGCGACATTTATTACCCAATCTTTGGAGTTAGCTTAGTGGACATACGTCTTTCAATACTTTGTCCAGAAATAGATTTAATATCCAATCCATAGCTAATTCAGTTGACACTAAATTGTTCGCGGGTGCACCTATGTCAGTATTTTCTTTCTCTCGTCTGTCGTCCATATCCATAACGTCTGTCCATATTATACAAACACGTATTTACTGAATCCTAAAATAAATTTGCACAGCAGATATTAGCAGATAAATTATATCATAAACACCATTAAGATCTTTTATGGTTTTCGCTTAGTAATCATTTCTAAATTTTGACTCAATCCGTTTTCAGGTAGAATAAAGTAAGTGTACTTAAAGGTTTTTACTAGTCGATATGAAAGAGAAATTTTAATAAATCAAACACGTAAAATGTAATAAAGACACTTATCACCTTTTTACTGAATATGGTATGCAGTAGTAGAAATATATTGTTGTCCGGCATAATAATATATGTGGGCTTACTTTGTTTTACATGCAACAAAACTTTAATTTTGTGGAAGTAAGTAGCGATTATATTGTTTTATTTGAAAATGAAAAGTTGGTTAAATGTAACTTATTTGTTTATTACACAAATTATCTGCTGAATGGTAAGTCGTATCATTTATTTGATTTTACCTGTATGTAGAGCGGAAAAAGCTGAGAATTTTGGTATACTTAACTCTATATTTTAAAATTTGCCATTTACCTGGTTTTCGCAGTATACCGACGATATAAGACAAGGTTCTAAACAAGGACGAGAAAATGAACTTTTAGTGAACCGTCACATAACACCTTACACTGTGTGACACAACGATTAAAAAATGTGCATTTATCATCTGGAAAACATGAAAATGATTCAAAACTGTAGCAAAATTTCGACAAGGATTAGAAATTGCGATGGCACTTCATCATTGGGAATTCCATCAGTCTATAGCAGGTTTTGGGAATATCTACTACATGTGAGAATCTTACATTGCTTTAATAATTATGAAAAGAAGAGAAGTTTCGTATTGACTTTATTTTATTTGTAGGAGTATCTACTTTAGCCAACACAAAAAGCTGATTCTTATACGTGTGAGATTCAGATCTAGGAGTGTAAAACGTCATATTGTCATTGTCACTGTTTTTTGGTATCAAAATTTTTGTTCTCGCAAAACAATGGGCGTCACCGCGTGACTGAACATATTGATAGTTACCAGTTATTGATATTGTATTAACTACTAGCTGTAGTACAATTAACTGATAGATTCAGTACTACAGAATACAAAAAACTATACATTGAAACCTTAGTCCTTAACCTATAGATATAGCAACATACCTGTTGCATTGTTTTGAACTTGGAAGGAGAAAAATCTTCCATCTGTGCTCTATTATGCATAATCATTAAATGAGGAAAATGATCTGTTATTTCGTCTTCTGGATTTGGTATTGTTGGTTTTAACATTTCGGCAGTATGTAAAAACCTGAAAAAAAGATAGTCTATTTAATTACATAAACTATCTTTGATAATTATATGCCAATTACATACCTTACCACATTACTATCTAAAAACCAATCTTGTACTAATATTAAAACATGACACACAGACATTAGAAATGTAGTTAGCTGTAATCCCTGAATCTCTCCACTGTTTTCTAGTGGTATAAATTCACTAACTAAATTGGTTCTCTTGGTTTCGCTTTTTATCAATTCCTCTAATACAGATACTGATGAAATGGGCTGGCAATCTAAAAGGATAAGCTGTAAAAATAAAATTGTATTATAGCAATTACTATGGCTATTAAAATAAAAACAAAACATTCATTTAAAGATATTTTAGAACAAAACTCACACTTTTAAAACGCAGTGAAAAATTGTGACATGAAAAAAATAAAATCAAAAATGATGGTAGGTTGGTTTCATTTAAACACTTTGCACAATTGTTCATATATTTACAGTGTATTTCTTTGTCTTTGTTACTGGTTATAATAATACACACAACTTTCGGATGAATATGATAATGGTATGTATCATCCAATGGTCCAAAGTAGAACATAGGCCTAACTTAATTTCTTCCAGTTCTGTCAGTCTTGAGCTTCCCACAGCCAATTCATTCCCAGCTATTCTTTTGGCGTCTGTCCATTGTATAGTGGTCGAAAATTTTTTGTGTCCACCACCCGTCAATCATTCTGGGCAAATGGCCCGCTATGTTACAGTTCAGACATGCTATATGCTATGTGCTCTGTGACACCTGTCCTTATTTCCTCATTTCTAACCCTGTTTCTGAGGGGCAGTCCAAGTAATGACTGTTCAATTCTTCTTTGTAGTACTTTGAGTGTAGTTATGGTGTCTAACATCTTCTTTTTCAAATAATTTGGCATGTTGCTCTTGAAGATTTCTGCTAGAGCTCCATATGCGGCCCATGCTGAAGTAATTCTTCTTTGCAATTCAGCATTTTGGTGGTCCCTGACAATGTGGATTTCATAATCTATTTATATTTACGAACAAATGCTATTTGTTGCAGCCGACTTTTGGATTTTCGCTTCTAACTCAGTGAGCATTGTTCTAATTTCTTTTCATTGTTCTAATTTCTTTTTAAAAAAAGAGGTTAATCTTTGTAAATGGGTATATTTATTTAAAAAACCCTTAAAAGGGCCACATCAATAAAACAAACGTTTTCGGACCACACAGTCCATCATCAGGTTTTTAAAATCGAAAAATGCCTAAAAATAAGTATAAACCATTTAGTTAAAACAAACGAGATTGTGAAATTTTGACTATGGTTGAAAAGCAAAAGATGGTTATACTTACTAGGTCACAATGCCTGAGCCACCAAAATACTAGGGTAAAAACCCTTTAAATTACATTTAGTTATGAAAGATTGTACATTGTGTTGTAAAATAACTGTGAGTGTAGAGGTTCTCTCTCACCGGCTCTGGAACCCGATTGAGCCATGTGTTACCTCTAGTCAAATTTAATTTAATACTGAACTTCTCTCTGTTCGTTCTTCTTCTTTTCTCTATCTGTTCTAGAGTTTCGGGTTTTAGTTTAGCTTCCTTTTGTTTTCTTATTCTGCAACAAAGTTTCTTAGTGACTGTTTGTATGTCTTTAGTTATTTTCTCAGCTAGTTCATCTATATTCTTGTGCTCAAAGGTATTTTTTTTTCGGAAAGAGTTTCCGTGCTAATTCCTCTTGGTATTTCTCTTTATTACTAGCTAGGATGTCTGCCGTCGGTAAAGGGTTTGTTGTTAATAGTTTTCGTCTTTCTCTCTTTACGTTAATACGTATATCAGCACGAACTAGTCTATGGTCACTGCCGTTGTTAAATTTGTTCAATACCTCGATGTTTTTACATATTAATCTATCACTGGAAAGAATAAAATCTATTTCATTCTTAACCTGAACGTCAGGGCTACGCCATGTCCACTTTCTTTGTATTTGTTTTTTATAGAATGTGTTCAGGCAAAACATTTTTTCGATGCTTACGTAATTTGTTAATGTCTCTCCTCTGGTATTTCTGTTGCTTAGACCGAAATTTCCTATGTAGTCTGAGTCACCTGGTATTCGCCGCCCTATTTTTGTATTAAAATCTCCGGTAATGATAACATACTGTTTTTTCTAGGTCTTTAGCTCACGTTATATCTTTGTAGAGTTGTTCAATTGACTCGTCATCTGCAGTGGAAGTTGGAGCATAGCAGTGTATTATCTGTAAGCTATATCATTTATTCAGTTGTAATACAAGATATATCACTCTTTCCGACATTGCTTAGTATTTCACAATCTGATGTTCTATTCTTCTGTTGATCATGAAAGCCACTCCTCCTTGGCCGTGGTTCTTTTCTGAATTATATTGGTATAGTGTGCCCAGATTTTAGGGTGGTCTTTTTCTCTCCTTGAAGTCTCGTTTCACATAAGCTTACAATATCCATTTTAATAGCCCTTAGTTCCTGCTCTAATTCTTCTAGATGGTCGTTCGTTCTCATGGTTCTAATGTTGTATGTAGCAATTTTAAATTGTTGAGAATTAATTTGTTTATTTTTGTCATGTATTTTCGACCTTCTGCCTCCCCCAGAATCCGTGAGACAGTCCATATTGGAGTGGGATTCTGAGATATAAACTCTACCCACCTGGGGTACTATATTTTTGAATCTCGATTTATGCATGAATATATTGAAGGGAAAATGGCAGTTAAAACGCCACGCTTGCCGAGCGGGTTGGCGAGTTTAGATTTCAGCCGCCCCTAACCTAATGTCAGACGCTGTTTGCAGCCGTCCATTTTGGATCAGACGCTGCTTGATTTTATAGCAGCCCTAAAATCACGGGATTGCCACTTCCGCCATCCACACTGTACCGAAGGTTTGCTTTTCCGGTGTGATCTGCCGTTGTGGTCTTCATCCGTAACCCTGGACAAGGGACCCTAAACAGGTGTTAGTTTCCCGGGTTTCGGGTTTCCTTTTCCCTGATAGGACTGTCTGAAGAGTTCCTACCCGCTACCCACCGCAGCACCAACTACCAAACAAAAATTGTGATTTCAAAAACATCTAGAAATTTATAAATTAATATAAAAATATTGAACAATATTACATACCCTATTTGGTGTAACATATATATCAATTCCTTGTGTTCTATTAAATCCTCTTTCTATATCTTCTGAAGTTTCAATTTTAAATATTTCCTTTCGTAACTTTTCATCTTGTTTTAAGTCAACTTTTTCAAAATGCTCAGTTAAAATTTTAATATCACATTCCTTAGAAATAGAATTATTTTCAGTTTTAAATATTTCTTTCTTTAAGTCTTCAGTTATTTTACTGTAGGAGAGAAGATTCATGATAGTTGATTTTCCTACACCTTGAGCACCTACAACTCCAACTATAAGAAATTCATTGTTTTCATTAAAATAGTCCTGTAATGATTCTGTGCAAATCACGCCTTCATCTATTAGTTTCATAGCCTTGGACATTATTTTTAAAGTTGGTAGTGTATTTGCTAAAAAAAAATTATCAGTGAAAAAGTAATTGGGAGCAGTCCTATAATATTAAAGAATATTCTGCCGTGTTAACTCAAAAGGGCGTAACTGCAATTTTTATTAAAAACGAGTTTGATGTCCCACGCGTTAGTTAGTAATCTTTTCTACAAATCTACCTGAGTTTCGTAGCCATATCTGCAATAAAACCGGATATATACTGCTTAAATTAATAGCCGTATCTGAATTTTCTACTAAAATGTTAGCTTTAAAAGCCGCAACTGTAAATGTTAACACAAAAAGCCGTAACCAAAAAGTTTTCGGCAGATACGGCCTATTCACTTAACATTTCAAGATATTATTATGTTGGTACGAAAAGTAGTAAACTGTCAATTTACTTTATTTCTAACCTTACTTTTTCGTGTTTTCATAGAATGTGTTTAGTTTGTTGTTCATAATAAATATGGATAATATTTTTGCAGAAACAACTAGTAAGTATATTTTCTACTAATTTATATAAAAAGTTAAACAAATACAAATTGTTACCTTGTACCTATGTGTCAAAGTATATATTTTTGGTTCTGAAGTTATTGTAAATTGATTATCTCGAAAATAAGGTTATGTCACTTTGGTTTTCACACCAAATAGGTATTTATATTATGTATGTTCTATTAAAAACTATAAAAATAATTATTGCTTTGTCAAATTACTTGATGAAAAAATTTGTTTCAGCAGAATTTAGAGGACGAGGTAAAATGTTGGTGGACCTGGCTTTAAATTCCGCAGAAACAAATAACGAGCTGTCGAATATAGCTCAGTCAGATGTTGAATCTGACGTGTCTGATGACAGAGATAGAGACTACCTTCCTTCAACATCTTCCTCAAGTGAAGAATTTTGGGACACAGATAATAACGTTAGCGACCAAAATATACATATTATTAGCAATATCCTATTACAACCTGCTTCAACAACGAGCTCATCAGCTATTTCGGAATTAAATTTAAACAACTTATTGACAGATACGGAAGAACATCGTACTACCAATAATTATAACTATTTTAATAATTTAATTCACAGTATTATACAAAGCGCAATAGACAAATCAGAGAGCAAAAAATACACTAAAAAGGGACAGTTAAGAAAACGGAAAAAAATAGAAGAAAGTTTAAGTGAACGACGTTCAATAAAAATGCAAAAGTTAGTCAATAAACACAAAATATATGGAAGCTGTTTGGCTACTTGCAAGAAAAATTGCAGTAATAAAGTTTCAACTCTTCGACGGCAAGATATAAATAGGCAGTTTTGGACTCTTTCCTCCGAGAAAAAGATGCGCAACTAGAAATTCAGATAGTTCTCGGCGCTCTTTTACATTTATCTACCAGTTAAAAGACGAAGAAGGAATACCTCAAAATATTTGTAAAGTATTTTATCTGACAACTTTAGGACATCATGAAAAAAATGATAAGCCAGTTAGAACAGCTTTAAAGAGTTCCCAATTATCGCTTAAACCTAACACAGATAAACGAGGAGGCAGCTTAAAAAAATTTGACAGAGATTTAATCATTAGTCATATACAGTCCTTTAATCCTACGACATCGCATTATAGACGAGCACATGCTCCGAACCGTTTATACTTGCCTAGCGACATAACTATAAAACTAATGTATGAATCATTTAAAGCAAAGTACAATATTCAATGTTCGTATTATTTATATCGTCAAATCGTTAGTGAGCTTAATATTTCATTTGCAAAGCTTGGAAACGAAGAGTGTTTTACTTGTGAAAAATACGAGATTCATAAAAAAGAAAGCTCACACGTGTTAGATGACGGTCTAGTTTGTCCTGAATGCGAAACATATAAAAATCATCGAGAAAAATTTATAAAGGCCCGAGAGATGTACTACGCTGATTCCAGATCGTCGGGCGATTCTAGAGTTTATACAGCTGATCTGCAGAAGGTATGAATTTTATTTTGAATAATATCTGTTATATTTGACCTTACACAATTTTTTGTAGGTGATTATGCTCCCAAGATGCGATACTTTCAAAGAAATTATATTTACTCCTAGACTGATAGCCTTTAATGAGAGCTTTGTTCCAGTTGGTACTTCTAAAACTTCTACAGTTGCTGTTCTATGGCATGAAGCTATTTCTGGAAGAAAAAAGGCTGATATTGTTAGCACATTTTATGCATTTTTAAACAAAATTAGGGATTCCGAAGAAGTTGTTATTTGGCTGGATAATTGTTCCGGTCAGAACAAAAATTGGTGCTTGTACACATTTTTTGTGTATGCTGTAAGCTCATTAGAATTGAACATTAGGAAAATAACCCTAAGATATTTTGAGTCAGGTCATACATTTATGGCAGCTGACTCATTTCACCATAGAGTCGAGCAATCATTAAATCGAAAAGGTAAAGTTTATGACTTCGTTGATTTTGTAGATGCGGTTAAAACGTCAACACGTAATGTCGAAGTTATCGACATGGCTTTTAATGATTTTTACAACTGGAAAGACGAATCATCTCAATATAAAATAACAAGGTTGGTCCCTCGTCCGTACCTTCAACAAATGGTGGAAGTTCAGTTCATCAGAGGTTTCCATACATTTGGTTATAAAACTAGTTTTGAAGGAGAAATCATAAGTGCCAATTTTTTAAAGGCTAATATCCAAAAAAATGGCATTGCAAAACCACTCTCTATCTCTCAACCACGAGGTATTACCATGGAAAGAAAACAGAATATAATCACTAAAATTGGTCAAATAATGCCCCCAAATCGCATTGCATTTTGGAAAAATATTTTTGTCAGCGAAAATGTGGACACAATTGATGATTAATATAATATAATAACTAGTTCGGAGTAGAAAATTAAGTATTAATAATTAATATTTGTTTGACTGAGTATGATATTTTAGTTAGTCTGTATTATTGTTGTTTACTTTTTTAACTTTTCCTAATTATTAAGAATAACTTACGAAATTAATACATTAATATTGTAACGTTCATTTGTTTAATGCAATAAATATTTTCAAAAAATCATGTAGTTACGTTCTTAATTATATACCTCATGTTAAGTGAAAAAGGCGTATCTGTCAAAATCTGTCAAAAGTGTTGTTTTCCCAAGTTAATACTCTACCAAAATTTGTCACATGATAGTATAGACCTATTTGTTAACTTCTATATGGTACAAGTCACAACTTTTTAAAAAATCACGATTGCCTAATCAAAACCACTAAAACTGATTTTTCTCGCAAACTAGTTTAAAGCAGATACGCCCTTTTGAGTTAACACGGCAGTATTATATTAACAATACCTTGTAGTTGTTCAAACATTTCTGTGAATTACCACTTTCAATGAACACTTTATTATATCAAACTTACACTACATCTTACATAATTGATATTGAAAACTGAAATGATAGAGAAAATCATGTCCTTCCTTCAATCAACTTTCCTTGACAATTTCCTCCATCCACAAATTTTATGTGAACACCTGGTCTATAACTAACTCACAAGAAAACGACATACCCTGTCTCCATCCATAAATTTTATGAGAACACCTGCTCTACAAATAACTCACAAGACAGAGACACACTACCAGACTAACTTTGACACAGACCCTTGTTAATTGTCATAGCAAAAGATACCTTAACAGGAAACTAACTACAACGAAGCTTTAATGAAAGCTCCATTTCTGATGGACACAAATATATTCTAGAGTTAAATATGACGTTCTAAATAACCTTGCCAGTCACAACCATAGCTTGAATTACATAAAATCCCAAAGACATAACAATTGATTGTGTTAGTTACAGATTCCTTTTCTCATGTTTAACTTTCTGAGCAGTAAGTGTTTGAAGAAAACTGTCTGGAGATAGCGAGGAATTATTACAGGAAAGTCCCCAGTGGAATGACAACCCTGCAATTCACAGCACAGAAGTCTGACAAAAAAAGTAATTTTTCCAAAAGATCACTTGAGTGAGATTATTGCAAATCTGTGACTAAATATAATAAGAAACTGAGAAGGGCAAAAAGAAAATCATGGAGAAGGCATTGCGAGGAAATAGAACATACTGTAGAAATGTCAAGTGCTCTCAAAGATAAGTTATAAAGTTTTCTCAAAAGACCCTCAGATAAGTATTCCCTCATTCTAAAAGGAGTCAGGTGAATACACTCATAATGGTGAAGAGACTCTGAAAGAACATTTCAGGGTGCACTCTCCTGAGTCTAAAACAAAACTGATACCACTAGATACATAGCAGTAGACTGAAGTGGATACCATGGCGTATGGTTCTAGGGAAAACTATGTGACATATGCAAATTTACTGGGGGATACAGTAGCACAAGTAGCCAGAGACTGTCTACAGGGGGGAGTTTTCTCTTTTCTCTTGTCAAGGATGGGCTGATAGTTACACTCAATAAATATGGGCATCATATCCTGGGCTATGAGGATGACCTGGTCATGTACACTCACAGCAAAATTAATAACACTATATCTTGTATGACAAAAGAAAACTAATAAGGTGAAACTATGGAGCAGCGAATGACAATGGAGTGTGGAGAAGACAACTTCAAACTTCATAGAATATACCAGAAACCAGAAATTAAAAAACATATTAAAAGGTGGATAGGGCATGTAATGCGGATGGAACAAAATGGCCCAGCTAGAAAAATACTCCTTGATAGACCCATTGGTCAAGGAAGAAGGGGAAGACACAAAACAAGATTGCTTGATAACATAGACAAATATATAAAAAATATGGGAATACTGCTTAGCGGAGGAAGGCGATGGATAGGGACAACTTGAGAGAAATTCTTGAGGAGGCTAGGATCCACGCAGGGTTATAAAGCCAGAATGATAATGTTATCTTGAATGATTATTAATAACAAATCTCATCTAATCGGGCTATCTAGATATTAGAAGAGCCATTTTCTAGTTTCTTCCCACCAGTATTAATTGTAGTAACACATGTCTGCAATTTTTTATCAAGTGTTTCCTCATTTGTCAATAAAGTATTTTTCAACATGTTTACAACACTATATTTGAAATGAATTACCTTCATCCTTAGAGCTAGCAACTGTAGTATGTACATGATCATCTTTCTGATTGCGCTTTGGAGAAGCACTGACATCTTCTGCATTTGGTTCTCTTGCTTTCAGCAGAATGGTGGGTTGTTTCTTTGGAGTATCATTACTTAAACCTAATTTCAATGATCCCTCAGTCTTGGATCCCGAAAAACTTCTCCCGTCAGTTCCAGTAATTGTTTCCTGAAATAAATTTAATAAATAGAATTAAATTACCCATACTTAAACCTTCAAGTATATTACTAACTTTTACTATAGTGAAATTTTTTTTCTTGGGGTCTAACTTTTTGCGATTAATTCCGTAATCTGACATTTTCCTTGTAGCAAATAATAATAATATTTAAAACTATTGGAGTATATTATATACTATAAAATATCATTTCTGGTTTACGGTAATTGGGTATATTTGGGTATTGTATATTGCATTTGAAGGTTTTTTGTTAGGTTAGAAAAATTTATTTACTTTGAGACTTGGGTATAGGCAACCAAATACACACAATGATTTTTTTTATTTATTGAGTTTATATAAATCTTTTTTTTTTTTTTTGTCACATACTTAAATTCTTTCTCAATTTTTTAATTATAAAATACATAATAGTAGTCATCTACGTAATATCAGAGCTTACTTATAGACAATAGTCTCATATAGAATCTATATTTTAGTTACATTGGAATAATTTCAGTTTGATTCTGTGCCTGCAACACACGATTTGCCTCCTTCCATTATGTTCATTCTGCTGTAACTGTAGTATGTTTGTCTCCATCTAGTTCTTTATTGCACTTTCACACAAATCTTAGATATCTGACGCTTTCACGTATTAAAATCAATTAAAATCATTTGGCTATATAATCTTATTTGTAATAATAAATAGATTTCTAGATTAATTCGAAAAATGTTGTCCTACTAAACAAAAAGGAAAAGATTGGGTGACCACTGAAATCCTACTGCTGATGGAAGAGAGAAGTGCAAAAAAACAAAGAAGAATATACATATTAGAATCAACAAAATCATCAAAATACTAATCAAAGAAGCCAAAGAAAAATGGGAAAATGAACATTACAAAGACATAGAAACATTATAATCATCATTTGTGCTAAAGCCCTATAGTAGAGCCTCGACCTTCCCAAAATTACGTATCTTGTTTGTTTTTACTTACCAGTTGATCGATTACTCTCTCCTAATATATTGTCATAGTATGGCTAAGTAATTTTATAATTTTAAAGATTATAACTTTGTATTTATGGATGATGTTTTGATTGAGTTTTTTGCTGCGTTAGCAACAGTTCATATTTTTATTAGGGACAGAGTAATATTTAGATAATTAAGTAGGTACAAATGTTATCTGTCCTCTTACGTTGCTGCTTCATGTGAGCATTGCGTATGCCTTTATATTCGAGTACGGTAAAGTATGTTTAACGCGTTCGCTGCTTATACAGAGTAATTTTCTTTATAATATTAATACGATTCATACATTTTGATGTTTCACATCTATCGGATGTTCCCTGACGGCCTCATTTTTTAAAAGTTATATTTGTTTAAGATATCCACTGCACTCCCCTGGAAATGCAATATCATTTAGTTTTTGTTATTATTATTATTTTGGACAGTGTATAACCCTGCATCACTCGCGCTATGAGTATTTCTCTCACACCTACCAGTAAAATGCAAATTTTATTAACGGTAAATCACGCATACTGCTACCCCCACTTCTAGCTGAGTTTCTAAGGGTCTTCGTTGTTACGCTTGAGCGCATGCAATATTTAGTGCATGTTGGTAATAGATATCGGGCACTTGTCGATCGTGTGCAGATCTCTGTGAGAATTTCTCTCATCGCGCAAGTTCTAACGTAGTATATTTTCTTAAGGTTGAATAAAGTTTTGGTAAGTAAATTTAAGATTTTTTTATACATAACTACTTTATTTGCTTTTTAAATAAGGTCAAGGTGTTCTATTATTGTGGTATTGTTATTTTAGATAGTAAACAATGAGTAGAGGACTGACGCTTGCAGAATTAGGGCGAATTCGATATGAAGAGGCACAAAGAGAAGGTATGTCAGCTAACATACCATGGAGTGGGCAAGAGGAATGTCAAAATCAAGAAATTATGGAAGATGGCGGACGAGTGGATGTTGAAAGTGACGCTTCCAGTGAACATAGTATGCATAATACCGATTCCGAACAATCTGATGTAGAAGTTGAAAATTTTGTTTATGAAGTTGACGATAATCCCGCATATACATCAAAACATCATTTCACTGGTAAAGACAAAAAAACTCACTGGATGGCTTATCCTCCACGACCTAACGTAAGAGTGCCTACAAAAAATATTGTTAGTCATCTTCCCGGAGTAAAAAATATTGCAAAAGATGCAAATACTGTCGAAGCATGCTGGGAATTATATATTACAAAAGAAATGGTTGAAGAAATCGTACAATGCACAAATATCTATCTAGCAAAAATACGAGGTAACTATACGAGAGAAAGAGATTGCCGTGACACAGACGCTACAGAAATATATGCTTTTATCGGCCTCCTATACATGGCTGGGGTACGAAAGGCTCAATATCTAAATACTAAAGAACTTTGGGCTGATTCAATATTTGCTCCTGCTTGCTTTAGACTAACGATGTCACGAGAACGATTTCATATTTTAGGAAGAGCACTAAGATTTGACAATATCAATGACCGAAACGAAAGAAAAAAATACGATAATTTGGCTCCCATTCGAAACATATTTGAACAGTTTGTGTCCAAGTGTCAAGAAAACTACCAAGTTGGAGAGTATTGTACAGTGGATGAAATGTTGGAAAGCTTTAGAGGGCGATGTAAATTTCGGCAATATATAGCCAACAAGCCGGCCAAATACGGCATTAAAATATATGCCTTAGTTGACTCAAGGATGTTTTATACCTGCAATATGGAGATATATGCAGGAAAACAGCCAGTTGGCCCTTTTTATCTAGACAACTCTGCATCTGCTGTTGTTATGCGTATAGCAAATCCCATATTAAACACAGGTAGAAATATAACTATGGACAATTATTTCACGTCAGTGCCGTTAGCCAAACAATTACTTGATAGGAAAACTACACTTGTTGGTACCCTAAGGAAAAACAAGAGGGAAATTCCGCCAATATTTATAAATGTGAAAAGACCTGTACCTAGTAGCATGTTTGGTTTCCGAAAGAATACTGTATTATTATCGTATAAACCCAAACCTCAGAAAAACGTATTGATGTTATCTACATTTCATTCTGGGGACTACATCGATCCTGAATCTGGCGAACTGGAAAAACCTGAGATCATTACATTTTATAACCTAACAAAAGGAGGTGTCGATGTGGTTGATGAATTAAAATCAACTTATTCTGTTTCCAGATATTGTTGCCGATGGCCACTTAGAATTTTTTTTACAATTTTGGACGTTGCTGCTATTAATTCCAATATTGTACATAAAAGTAATACCGAAGTTATTGAAGAACGTAGAATTTATCTCAATCATCTGGCCGAAGCTTTGATTAAACCTCTGTTGATTCGTCGTTCATCGATCAGGTCTTTGCCAATTAATATTCGAAGCATGCTAAGGGAATATTTAAATATGCCTCAGATTGAACAGAACAGAGAATCTGTTCCAGATTTCTGTGGATTTTGTCCAAGAAGAAAGAACAGGAAGTCAAAAAAACGATGTGTTAGCTGCAATGTTGCCATTTGCACGGAGCATACCACCTTCACATGTCCAACGTGTTCTGGCGTAAACGATAATAGTGGTACTTCAGATGATTAAATTTTTGATTAATATTATGTTTATTTTATCTGATTTAAGGATAACATTAATTTAAAGATAGATGTAAAATAAAATATACAGGGTATTTTTTTTTAGTTCTTAGCATTGTATAAGTTTTCTTTTTAGTATTTTTAATGTACTTATAACTCTATTTTTGGCATTTATTTTAAATAAACCCTTTTATTATTACCAATAGTTTTGTTTCATTTGCATAAAAAAAAATAAAAACAGTTACACCGAACAAAATCTTGAAGGGTTCGTCGTGTGAGAGAAATTCTCACGCGCGAGTTCTCGCGTAATTTTTTAAGGCGCGAGTGATGTAGGGATAATAATGCAGTGTAGTACAAAAATCAAATTTGGAAAGGAAATGTCACGTGGAAATGTCACTTATGAAATAACCAATTACAGCACAAGACACTGATAAATTTGGCAATTGTCTTGTGTCACCTGTGTTGTGATAAAAGCCAAACCATAAAATCAACGACCTTCGATTGTTGACATGGTGGTGGTAGTAGTATAATAAAAAAGCGTGGTATTAATCTTTGTTTTGTAGGTAGTATTTGATAATAAATAATATAAAATGCCTTCCAATAAAAGGATAGCCTTCTGGGTATCCGAGAAGAAATTACAGAAGCTAAATTGGCAGGAACTAGAGACAATAAGTAAAAAATTTGGTTTTGAGGTGTTCAAAGTGCGTAAACTGTGTGTTTATTTTCGCTGTAAGTTTTATGTAATTTGCATATATTTACATTATTCTTTTGCAGTTGAGTCTGAAAAAAAGTTTGGAATCACAAGGACCCTTCTGTGTGTTAGTACATAAAATGACGGATATTATTGCATCTGCAAATATGGGTGATATTAGGGTATGTTTACAACAATTAATAGGACATACTTAGTTTCTCATTAGGATATTTGTTGTTATCGGTTTAAACTTGAATCAATTAGATTAAACATAATTTTTTAGTAATTATTACTATCTTTATAATGTTTATTGTGTAAACAAGTAAAACAAGTACACAATCAGAATGGTACCACTTGTAAGGATAACTGCCAAGTGTTATATCAATAGTGAAAATATTACAACAGTAGACTTATATGAGATAAACTGGAAAGTAGAAAAGAAAAGAAAGTTGAATATATAGAAGAAACATATTTCAGAGTGGATATGCCAAGCATAGCTCAAATTGTTAAATTTAAAAAAATCATAGAAAATAAACATCCAATTGGGGATACACCTACCCTTCAGTCATTTAAAAAAAGCATATATGGCAATACATACTTACAAATGACTCGAAAACTGTGATTATACAGACTTCTCTAAATATCTTTTCTTTTAAATGATTTGAATTTGCACCTGCACCCAGTATGGACTTATGTAGTTAACATATTTTCCACATCAGTTCTCAACACTATTTCTTGAATAAAGGAATTTATACCAAGGAATTTGATGTTCTTACTTTCCAAAATAAAAATTGTGTATAGATGATCTTGAATTATAATTGTTGGTATATAAATTGCCTTCACAGAGTCAATATTAGTTTAGTCACTGATTATAAGCCTAAATTTCTCTTTAGATCTATTAAAATGATTTGAATTTATACTTGGAGCTAAATTGTGCTCTTGCTTAGGTAATATGTTTTTCACATTTTGTTCTATCACTTTTTCTTCAAGTTCGTATAAAATTTTACCATAAAGGTGATGCAAAAGTGCCATGAAAATATTGTTAGCTACAATAATTTGATCTTCTTACTCTCTAGAATCAAAAGTACCAGCAGACTATTGAATTAAAATTATATATAGACATAAATATTCCATTCAATCATTTCTTTGTAGGTCCTTATCATCTAGTATTATATAATTGAAAGGTTTTCTAAAGTCTTCACTTTTGTATGTGTACTTTGAGTTATTAACATTTAATGTTAGCTTGTAGTGATCTAGACATGCCATCATTTTATTAAGACCAGTTTCTATTACAAATGGAGCTTGGATCCTGTTCTTAAAAAATGTATGTCAGGTGTCATTGGTTACTTATTATTGACCTTACAATAATTGTGGTAAGCTGATTGAATTGGCATGAAAGCTTAAATTGCATTTTACCAGTGAAGTAATCCTATAACCATCTTAAAGAAGTATCTATACCTATACCAACATTTTGCAGCATATTATGCTCTTATTTAGGTAATACATTTTTTCACATCTTGGTCTATAACTTTTTCTACACTTTAGTATAAAATTTTACTTTAAAAGCGTTGTAAAAATATTCCTACATCATAAAATAAAAAAAAAATATTGAAATAAATAATACAACTATTTTTATATTTTATACTTTTTTAGTGTGGTAATCTTATTCAAGAAGTTGAAAATTATATTTCTCAAAATCCATCTCTGGTTGTGATAGATCCAATAGCAAATGTCAGAAAATTAATTGATAGATGTAACTGCTATAGTATTATTCATTCCACTAATTTATCTACCTATAATGTTTTTACACCAAATTTTTGTACATTAAGGACAGGTAAGTGAAATATATAGTCTAATTGAGAATATAGAGCATATTTTGTAAGGCTCTTGTAAGGATCTTTTTTGATCAAGTTACATACCCATATCTAAACTCCAAAAGCTCTCAACTGAAAATGTTCAAATTTTACAGTATGGACAAACAACACTGTTTATAGTAGTAAATTGATAAAGAGTATCTGTTTTTTTTTGTTTAATTATTAAATCACAACCTGTTCATGCGATTTGAGTTAAAAATTACAGAATTTTAGTTTAAATAAATTATTTAGGGTAACATTTTTAAACTTACATCCAGAGACCCAGATTTTCAGTTAAGAGGTTTTGGAGTTTATGTATAGAATTACATAATCAAGTGTGCAGATACTAGTTAATAAATCAAATTAAAGAATATATTCATTCACATTCTCGACTGGACCAGGTTAAACACACAGACACTCTTACAAAAAGCAGAAGATAGAGACGAATTTGCAATGATTATAGCCAACCTTCATTAGTGGAGACGGCATTAGAAGAAGAAGAAAGAATATATTTGAAAATAGGATATCAAATGGGAAATGGGAAAAATAAGATATCAATATTGTAATGTATGTTTCAGAGACAATCATTCCCATACCAGTAGGGGAAAGAAAACTAAAAATCTTCAAAAGAATAAAGAAAAATAATCGTACCTAAGATATCAAATGAAGATGATCTTCATATACCATGCCTTTTCAGAACGTTGGTTACCATCATAGCTATCTTAATTTTATTCACTGCCACCCTAAATAGCAAGCTTGTATCAACACCATACCAATCTCGTAAGTTCTTCAACCATGAGGTTCTTCTTCATCCTGGACTGTGTTTGAGTTTGCCTGCTATTTTTCCTTGCATGATATTTTGTAGCAACTTATATTTGGGACCTCTCATTACATGTCTGAAATACTCCAGCTTTCCCTGTTTGATGCTTTTTATGATCTCAGTTGTCTTGCTGAGACGTTCTAGTATTGTGGAGTTTCGAATCTTCTCCACCCAGGAAACTTTTAAAATTTATCTATAGCACCACATTTCGAAAGCTTCAAGGCGATTTAGATCGATTTTATTCACAGTCCAGGACTCGAAACCATAAAGTAAGACCGAAAACATTTAGCAGCAAAGTAGGCGGATCCTTTATGCCAATTTTAGGTCTTTGTTACATAACACCTTGGACATCCTTCTAAAAGCAGCTCTAGCCTGCTCTATCCTAGATCTAATTTCACCGTGACTTTCTGAGTTACATTTTAATTGCTGTCCAAGATGATGCAATGTGAAATAAATATAAAAAATGAGAACATTCAAATGAATGTTTTGGCTTAATATATTAGTTAAGGGCATATATTGAGGAAGTTGACAACAGACTCTTTAAGAGTCACAGTGGACACTATTTTACCAGGTAAACAAGCAATAGATTGAGATAAGACAAATCAGAATGAAATTGAATGGTAAATCAAAGTCAATCAAAACACGTCAGTGATTGTAAAAGAAGACTATGAATAGACATATAAATTATATAAAAGTATTTGTTACATTTATTGCATTAGTTATTATTACGAAATATTTAGTTATGTAATTATTATTAGGAAACTCAACTTTGATATCAGTGATTTACTAAAAAACCATAATTTGACTAATTATTCTTATTACACTGTTTTAGGTGATAAAGAGTCACTAAAGCAACAATTAAAAATGGCCAAAGTAACATATCCTTTCATTTGTAAACCTATGTTAGGACATGGATCAAAAAAGGCACATGAAATGTCGATAATCTTTAACGAGAAATATTTAACAGGGATTAAGACACCCTGTGTAGCACAAAGTTTTATAAACCACGACGCAGTTTTATTTAAAATATATATAGCAGGCGACAAGCACTATTACGTCGAGAGGCCTTCGTTAAAAAATTTCAAAGCTTCAGAGAGGGAAACCATATATTTCGATACAAGTGATGTCTCGAAGTCTGATTCGAAAAGTAGGCTTTGTGTGTTAGATCCTGAGGATATTTTAACGGAAAAACCCAAACCAGATGAAGAAATTATAGAAATAATAGCTGCTACTCTAACGAAAGCTTTCGGAATGGATCTTTTAGGAGCGGATGTAGTTATTGAAAAGTCTACTAGAAAATATGGAATTATAGACGTGAATGCGTATCCAGGTAAAATATAAAATTTTTCTCTAATTTTTCTAGGTAATGTGACACATTGAAAAATCTGTAATAATTTTGAAAAACACTACAATTCTATTAGTCTATATGCCAGTACAACTTACACACAATCAAGAAAGCATAGTTCTTCATATTGATTCCCTTTTATAAAAACTATTCATATTTTAAATGCCCTGCTTTTGGCTCGAAAATCTTTGTGTGATCTGGACCACACTAGATATTTTGATATTTTTCTCTAATCAATATTTTGTGCTGTTTTTTTTATGTTCACAGAATATTGGAGTTTCATTGTAGAACATAACTTGACTGTTCAATGATTGAGGTCTAAGCCTCCTTCTTCTTAATGTGCCCTATCAAGTCCCTTGACGTTGTGATTAACATGGCGAAACTGTCTCTGTCTCGAGCTATTCTAAATAGTTGCTCAGCTTTCTTTATTCTTGTCTAAGCCTCCACTTTATTCAATTTTATGGAACACATAGACTTTCGAAATATCCTGAATATTGGAATATTTTTATCTTTAATTTATTTACAGTCTTTAATCTTCTACAAATCATCTAACACTTATTTTAGTCTTTATTTTACAGTTTTTGAACACTCATTTACACTAACATTAAAACATAATTAATTTATAATATATATTTATTACTTGACTGTGTAGTTATATTGGAGACTAAAATCGTTCTGGAACTTTCATCGAAGCCGGCCCTAGATCCATGAAGAAACTTCTCGAGTTATTCCATATCTGCGACTTGATTGGCAATCTTGAACTGTCATCGAGGCTAGACCCGCAATGTTACACCGGCGCCATGCAGAGCCGGTGCAACATTGCCCCTCCTTACGAGATTGTTCCTCGTTGTTGGGACTGGAAATGGATGCTGTTATCGGCAACTGGACCCATTTTGCAACTCCCATTTGTATAAAAGTGACAAGGGATGGTTTTTCGCTCCGCACCAGTAACCATGCGGATTGCAGCAGACTAGTACCGGAACTTCGATTTCTTTAAAGATTTCTTCCACGATATTTTGGACAACCCTCAAATGCAATTGTCAGCACTCTAACTTTGGCATAGCTAACTTTTGCACATTTGACTTCAGCATGTGCTTTGAAGTAATGCTTCCCACACATCTTGGTAGGTAGGTTGGTCTTCTGCAGTGTCTTTTATTATGTGAGTACAATAGAAAAGGTAATGTGATGCATCTTCAAAGCTTTTCCGGGAGTTGGAGTTGGCATTGAAGTTCTGCAACTCAACCAAACTTCCTTCGAAAGATGGATGCCAATGCTTTTGCGTCTTTAATATTGGCCAGGGATGGTATGGGCCAGTGAGTAGTAATCTTGTTTATTGGTCGAGGTATTCATTCGGTCCACATCCACATCAGACATCCAAACTCTAGATCACAAGGTTGTCGCATCTCGTGATCAAATAGGACTTTTGCTGGTGTTTGGCCCGTTGATTCATTAACAGCGGATCTGTAGGCCATGTAGTTCTTGTTTTCTTCATGCTTAGTCTATCACAGATTTCCTGGAATATATCGCTCTAAAAGTTCCTTCTTTGGTCACTATGGATCTCCAAAGGCACTCCAAATCGGTTGGTGTCAATCTGGGATTGCGTCTCGTCATCTTTTGTCTCTACTGTAATTGATTAAATTCCTCTGTCTGCTGTCCCTGTTTCCTCCATTTTCGTTTCAATGTCTTTCAGTTACTGTTTAAAAGAGGAAATCTTTTCAATCTCTTTTATCTTTTCTTTAAGAGCCGAAATATCGGCAGAAACTTTGTTTTTCAATGAAGATATTTTATCGTCATGAGAAGAAATCTCAGAACTCGAAAAAACAAGACCCTCTTCTTCCAGGGCGTTTTTCAGCCGTTCATTAATTCAGCTATTTTCCCGATATAATTTATTTAATTGTCCCGCTTATGACACCAATGTTATGTTTTATTTTAATTTATTTAAAGTCTTCTAACACTAAAACAAACTAAAACAGAATTAATGTTTTTGACTATACAAATTGTCCCGCTGTTCGGAACGCTCCCAGAATTTTCTCGGCGGTCTTAGAACAGCTGTGGATCGAATCGCGTAATATATTTGATCAGAGGTGTAGCAAGGGCTTGGCGTAACAATAAGTTCACAAACATCATTCATTTTAAACGTTTTATTCTGTCTGTATTTAATTCACTGTATTCAATTCTGTGGTAAATGAAGTATGTACATCAATTTTTTTATAATGAAACTTACGATCTGTAACTACCTTTAATAGTTCTATTTTCAACATGGCATCTCCAAATGGTATATTTTTTATTGACTAATCAGTTTCTAATTTCAGTTTTTGTCCAAGAGATTTTTGGAAATTTTTCTGTTAATCACGAAGTAGTATTGTCCATTACGATTACAGCATTTTCTGGAATCAAGTCGATCATTTGTGTGAAGTATTCTTCAAACACATCTGCATTCACCTCTTCGTGGTAGTCTTTGGTTGATGTCGACTGAAACTCCAGTAAACCACCTTCAATGAACCCTTCACAGCATCCAATATGTGTCGGCGGTCCTTGCTAACAGCAATATTTAGTCCCGTACATAGATCTTCTATGAAAGGTTGACGACTGATTTGAATACTTTTGTCGAGCCATAATTTTTAAACTGAGTGCGCTTCATTGAGTCACGTATCATCTAGATAATAATTTTTTCTTCCTTTTATATTTTCGAATATCCCTTAAATACCGCCGTCTACTTATTATTTGTTCGTTGCCGATTAGCAGTGACTTACGATTTTGCTTCTCCCAAGTAAAATTTAGTTTGTGTAATATTTTCCACAAGGTAAATTTTCATCTTCCTTCACCACCCTAAGAATGTCAAGGGTTGGGATCTCTTTGTTAAAATACAAGCCACATACTAGCTTTTTTTGGTATAAAATATTTTTTATAATACTTTTAATTCCTCACAAATTTACTTATATTCTAATGGGATTATATGGAAAAGCTGATTTATTTGAAAAACTTTTGTTGAAAACTTTTTTTGTAAACTTATTTTTCTTCTTTTATGAGGGGGTGTGGTCCACAAGATCCAACATTTGTTCGACTCGGTCCTAGAAGGTGGGCAAAACCGTCTTCCAGTATCGGTTATGCATAACTTCTCCAACGTGGCCATGATGATATCCGAGGCCGCGCGCAAGGGTTGTTCGGACACCATTGCCGTCAATGCCAGAGACCTACCTGTTAAAAAAACACCCTCAACAGCGGTGAATTACTGGCCGGATCCCTGAATGGGACGCAACATCGGCACGGCATTCACCCGATCTCTCATTCACCCACAATTTTCACGCATTCTAGGACTTTCTCACTACGACTGAATTCTTTTCTCTCCTCTGTCCCTTCCTGTTAATATTCCATCTCACCCCTTCTCATTCTGCCTTATCTTCTTGCTTGCTCCTGGGCACCCGGTCTCCCTTCGGGTCTCCTTTCTTTTTGTTCCTTTCTCTAAAATGTTTCCTCATTGAACTGAACTGCTCTCCACCGATCTGACGACCTAAGTATCTCCTCCACAAGTTCCGTGACTGATTGCACCCTACTTCCTAGCTCTCTCTCAAACAGGCTCCTCTCCCCGATCCATCTATCGCATACCAATAAAGTGTGTGAGACAGTATCTGATATTTGACAATACAGGCATTTGTCATTTTCTGCCTTTCCAAATCTGTAAAGGTCTGCCTCGAAGCAACCATGTTCTGTGAGCATCTGCGCCAGGAAGTAATCCAAACGCCGGTGCCCGCAATCCATCCATCTTCTCAGATTAGGAATCAACAACTTCGTCCATTGCGCCACCCTTTTCATCTCGTCCCATTCCTCTTGCCACATCATTATGGACCTCTCCCTTCTTTTTTTAAACGTTCTATTGCTGTCTTCATATCTTCTCTCGTATATTCTTCCTCTTTCCTTCACTATCACGTGCATCAGCATACACCCGGTGATCCAATGCTTCGGCAGTAACTGTTCTAGTTGCACACGCCACCCCCAATAGACTCTTCCTATCTGCACTTTTTTTCCAGACAAGCGCAGCGTAGAAGACGATCGATTGCACAACAGAATGAAGGGAACTCCCCCTCTCAGTTTTGGGCCCTCCGATGTTGGTCACGATCTCCCCGCAGTTCTTTGAGTCACCTCTCTCCACGTTCTTTTCTTCCGAGGCCAGAAGACCATGCCTGTCGTAAGAGGCTACTAATGGGAAGGTAATGAGAGGTGGAGAGCCGTCGTTGGAGATGTCGGGTTTGTAGAAACGCACTCGGGATGCTTAGTTATCTCGGTCACCGGTCTACACTCCTAGTATCCGAGACGAGCATCTCGTGGGACCACTCTAATCTCATTCCAAAAGAGCCAGGTGAGGTTGAACGAGCTGGGCCCGTATATGTGTCTCACAGCCTTACACCACCGAGAGTGGTGTCGGTGCCCCGGCACGTACCCACCTGAAATGATTTAAGAGTGGTAGACGAGTGATCCTAGGCGGCGACTTGTCTACGTGCGAGGTGGAATTCCTCCGCCTGCGTCACCTTTCCGCCCCCGGGGAAGGGGGATCTCTGGACGGGTGACGTACCTGCAACAGAGGTACTACGGCTAAGGTGGAGCCCCACGATGTTTCGGCATCGTGTCGCCTCATTTGGTGTCGGACTCGTAGGGGCAGTGGAGGCGCTAACGGTCGTATGCCGAAAGGTCAGGTAGACCAGGGTCCTGCCAAATTTATATTTGGAGGGGCACAACTCACGCTATGCACATTCGAATGTTATCCCGTCCCTTTTCCTTGGTCCCTTGAGAACTATAGCCTCGGCCGCAGCCAGTTCTAGCTCATGAATTTTCATCCATTGCCATCCTGTGCACCAAAGATAAGGTCATCCCTGTCCCGCGCCACTACCAGCATAGCGTGGTTGTCCGCAAATGCGGAAGGGGTACACCCTCTCCGTATTGTTCTAAACATTGTTCCACGTTGTAAACATATTAAACACATAAAAAGTTAACATACTTTATTTGTAGTAGACTGTTTATGTATTTTTGTTCATAACTATATTTTGTTTTAGGATATGAGGGATTCCCAAATTTCTTCGACTGTCTTTTAGAATGTATATCGAAAAAGATATCTTCGGATTTCACATAGAAGCTGTTGTACTTACTATTGCAATTATCTACCTACTCTGAAGATTAACCTATATAAATAACTGCCAAAAATACATAACATTGCTCAAAGCAAAAATGTTATATAACATAGGATATATTTATAATTTTTATAGCCTCTTTATATTTATATTATTAAAGCTTAAAAAATATATTCATTTTCTAAGTAGTTTTGTCTTTAAAATGTAGAGACCTACCTGAGTTACCTTTTTTAATTCCTCCTTAATCCATACTGTCATTCCATACTAATAGATAATTGAAATTCGATGTCAATGTTGCGATGGTGGACCGTGGACCTATTTTAATCTTTCTGCAAGATAATCCCGCAGCATTACATCTTCTCATAACACTGTATTGCCAATATTCATACTTATAATTTCTTGAGGTTGCTTTCGTAACAAAATAACAGAAACTGATTAACTGATGATAAACTTAACTAAATTTGTAGGCACCAAAAAACGCCTACTAAGATAGTTTTTTTTTCTTCTCTATAAGCCCTCTGATCTACAGTCGTACAGTAGCCAATCGGCTTATTGTACCTTTGCCATTACCTACTCTAGAAGTCCTTAGGACTTATACACACCTGCTATAAATAAGATCTGCGCCAACATCTAGTCTAGTGGATCTTTTATTTGTCCCTGAGCTCTTGTATCAGAAACGACATTGAATCTTGTCATCGTAACAGTAAATTCTGCGAAAGTTGTTTTAGTGTGTTGAATGTCCACCTGTAAAACCGTGATTGGAGTCATTCCGAACTATTTGGAACACAGTCCACGACAGGGGTTTTATCTCTGCTTGTTCCCGTTATATTTTATTTGTAGACTAATTAGTCAACTTCAGAGTACTCTTTTGGGTCATCCCTTTGTCTCTTCTTCTTAGCCTGGCACGTTTCTAGGGAACGTCGGCGATTATCATGCTTATAATATCGATACGATCTCGGATTAAATTATAGATATAAAAACATAGATCCTTTTTAAATTGTCTGCTGTTATACAGTCGCAAATTTTTCAACAAGTAGAGCTTCTTCCGCCCTCCACATTTCTCTCCTTCAATTTTACTGTTGAGAATTGGCCGAAGAAACTCTTATCTTGGTCCTCTGATTATTTGTTCAATATATTCTAGTTTATTCTCTTCGTTCCTGGTTCTGCTAGTCCACGTTATCTTGAGTATTTTTGGATACAACCACATTCCAAATGTCATACAAGATATTATCAAATATCAAATATTTTGCACGAGAGATTAAAGCCTTATACTGAAATGTTTCTAGGGGAATATCAGGCAGGATTCAGGCTTGAACGTTCAACCATTAACCAAGATCTTTACATTACGACAGATCCTCGAAAAAGCGCAAGAGTTTAACATAGATATGTCATATTTTTGTCGATTTTAAAGCGGCATATGACAGCGTCTAAGACCAAGTCTTTACAACGCTATGAATGAGTTAGGAATTCCAAAAAAAACTCATATGTTTGATAAAAGTGGCAATGGCGAAGATGCTATCAGCAGTAAAAATTCAAAACGACTCGATCAACCCCATTTCAAATACATAGGGGGTTAAGGCAGGGAGATGCGCTGGCGTGTCAGCTTTTTAATGTCGCCTTAGAAAAAGTTGTACGAGACGCTAATTTAGATAGCAGGGGAACAATATTTAATAGATCAGTCCAAATTCTAGCATATGCAGACGACGTGGACATTATAACAAGAACTAGGGCGAGAACTGCGGAAATCCTAACCGAGCTAGTAGCAGCAGCAGAACGAATGGGGTTACATATAAATCAAAATAAAACCAAATTCATGGCGACTAACACAAACACAAGAGCTGGAAATGTTGACACAAATTTAATCATCAATGACCAAAACTTCGAAGCAGTCAATGAGTTCATATATCTAGGGACATCGGTTAACCCAATAATAATACATCTGAGGAAATAAAAAGCGAATAATAATTGCAAACAGGTGTTATTATGGTCTATCAAAGTACTTAGCTAACAAACGTCTGTCTCAAAAAACTCGTGTAAGGCTGTATAGAACACTGATAGTCCCCGCTCTCACATACGGATCAGAGGCATGGACGCTTAACGAAAACAGATGAATCCGCTCTATCCATTTTTGAAAGAAAGGTGCTACGCAAGATATTTGGAGCGGTCTGTGAGAAGCGGAATATGGAGGCGTAGATATAACTTCGAACTGCAGAATATCTACAAGCATACGTTTGATGGTAAAGATATTACCACTATAATTAAGCGAAACCGCCTGCAGTGGGCAGGACATGTAGCCCGGGCCCCTGAATCGAACATGATAAAAAAGATTCTAACAGCGCAACCTGTGGGAATGAGACGACGGGGTAGACCAAAGCTGAGGTGGGATGGATGGGGTAACACAAGATGCCGAGAAGATCGGAGTCGGCAACTGGAAAATTCAAGCAAGGGACAGAACAGAATTAGCGTAGAAAGCTTGAGAAGGTCGAGGCCCTCTAAGCGCTGTAGCACCAAGATGATGATGATGATGACATTCCAAATGTCTATTTTATTTATGGTATCGACGGTCAAACTCCAAGTTTGACATAAATTCAAAGTACACACTATACATAGCATCTTACATACTTTTCACCGAGTTCCAAATTCAATGAGCTTTCACGGATTTCCAAATTTTAGGTGGTCCAACATGCAAGATATTTGTTTCGTTGTATTCTTTCCAGCATTTGTTACCATTTCGGTTGAGCCGATATCCTTTTTACTGGTCACCATCTGTTTAGTTTTTTGGATGTTTATTGATAATCCCCAATTTCGGAATTCTATTGATTAGTTCCTGTAGGTCGTCGATATTTAGTTACAATTACAGTATCGTCGGCGTATAGTGTATTGTTATAATATGGTCAACACACACATTATATATGACAGGGAGATTTTTTGGTATTTCAAATATGTTTCAGTATTCGCAAAAAATGTGGTTATAACCCACTAATTTTGAATTAACTTTTAGTATTTTTTGGTGTATTAATAAGCCTACACACCTTCTTTGATCCTGTTTTCTTTTGCTATTTCACTGTAGATTAGTATAATATTTTACCATAATTTTGATTGTCCTCTGCCTTCTTTGTTGTCTTTAGAGCGCATATGTATATTTGTTTCTCTTTCAGCACTTGAGTTATTTTTTGGTCTTTTGTTGTTCCATGTATTAATTCTCATCTGGGTTTCGGTAATTTTTTTCTTGTCCTTATTTCTTAGCATTGTCATCGTTATATTATCAATCCGATTCCAAGACTTCACATTGTTTCATTGAGCAGTATTTGTTTTTACGACTCATTGGTTGGTTGATAACCACAGTTACTCGATCCATCCCGCGATTACACCAGGTGAAGTTTATTAGGCTAATTAATATTATTAAAGTATTAATTAGCCTATATCTTTATTCTCACTGGACATGCACCGTCAAGGGATATCTGCACATAATAAAGCTTTTTTATAGAGACCTAACTGCTCTCAGCATGGAACGTAAAATAATCAACCATACTTAGCATGATTATGAGGCATTAGATCGTAGGCGGCAAACACTTTTGGAGACTTCTAAGTAAGTCGATTCCATAATTCTGGAATTTGTATAACATAATGTCTTCCAAAAAATGTATTAATTACAACCCATGAAATGCTTAGTATTACAATCTGATTTTTACTTTATTTTTGTAATTGTCCATTGTATTCTCAGTTTCTAGATGGTGGTTAGAACTGACGTCAGAAGCGTCAGGAAAATACCTCAGTTTACACATCGCCTTTAATAATGTCTACGCAGTTGTAGGTGAGACGTCAGGGAGAAACAATTCCGGACCAAGGCGAGTAGATCCGTATACAATGTTTGAATAAAAAATACCAGCCGTAAAAGTCTATACAAACAAGTTTTACTTTTGTTTGTTTCCAAACAAGTTTACTTTTGTTTGTTTCTAAACAAGTTTACTTTTGATTGTTTCCAAACGTTTTAGAATAAAAATCTAAATCTAAAAATGCTTTCTGTACAGTAGTATACCTACATTCATCATCATCATCACTGGCTCGACAACCCTTTTTGGGTCTTGGCCTGTTCAAGGATTCTTCTCCATTCTTACCTGTTTCGTGCTTTTTTTTTCCAGTTTTTAATTTTTAATGTTGTTATATCATTTTTTATTTGTTCTACGTATCTCAGCTTCGGTCTTCCTCTTCTTCTTTTTCCTACTGGCTGATTTGTTTGGTATTTCGCCTTCTTCCATTCTTTCCACATGTCCAATCCAACGTAGCCTTCCTATTTTAATGAATTTTATGATATCCGGATCCTGGTATATGTTGTATAGTTCAAAGTAATACCTTCTCCGCCAAATCCCGTTTTCTTTTGTGCCCTTATATATGTGTCGCAATATTTTTCTTTCAAAGGTGGCTAATAACGTTTCCTCCCTTTTAGAGAGTGTCCAGGTTTCTGAACCGTATGTGAGTACCGGTCTTATTAAGGTTTTGTATATTTGGCATTTTGTTTTTCTGGAGACGTTATCTGATCTTAGTTGCCTAATTAAGCCATGGTAACATTTATTGGCAATAAATATTCTCCTCTTCACTTCCTCTGCAATGTTGTTATCAGACGTAACTAGGGATCCTAAGTATGTAAAGTTTTTTACCGCCTCAATGTTGTATTCTCCTATTGTTAAATTTGGCAGCTGCCTTATTTGTGCGTTTTTATTTGCAGGCATATATTTTGTTTTTGTCTGATTGATTTTAAGACCACTATTTTTTGCAGCTCGTTCTATTTGAGTGAATGCCTCTATCATTTCTCTTCTTGATCTTGCGGTTATGTCAACATACATCTGCAAATTCTAGTCAGTACTTGCACGCTTTTATTAATTATTGTTCCTCGGGTATTAACTCTTGTGTCTCTTATTATTTTTTCAAGTATGATGTTGAATAATATGCATGATAGAGCGTCTCCCTGGCGTAGTCCCTTCTTCACATCTATTGTTTCCGTTAATTCGTTTTGTATCTGGATTTTACTTTCTACTTTTAGTGTTTCTTTTATCAATTCTATTAGCTGTGTTGGTATATTAAATTCTTTTCATTGCTTTTTTTAGGAATTCTCGGTTTATATTTGTCATATACGCTTTCGAAGTCTATGAAGAGATGATGTGTGTCGATGTTATATTCACTTGCTTT